TTTTTATCGCAAATGTGAAATATAAAATGGGAAAAGAGACACTTTTGAAGTTCTATTGTGACTTGTGAGTTGTGACCAGTGACAGTGTTGCGAAATGTGAGCTTGTGAACTTGTGCTGGCCCATGGACTCGATGGGCATGTGATCCACCTTTATCCCATTGACGTAAATACAAATACATAATATTACCCAGATGTGGGATGAGTCACGAAAACGGAAAATTTAGTGTTCGTTGAAAAATTAATATATTGAGTCACTGACACTCTCTACCAGAATCTGCTATGTCAGCCAATGGTCATTGCCCAAATTTTAACAAGAATGCAATTTCAATTGGTTTGACAGTGCATACTCGCCTCAGATCGAGTGAATTCCAATCCATTTGCAGTTGCGTTAAATTTTAAAGTCACAACCCAAATTTAAATCAGTAGGGGCGCCTAATATTGGGCCTTTCTCTTTCGGCTTAACGGCAATCTCATTGCAATCAAAAAATATGTTGAGCTAAAAAAAAAATACTGGATCGTTATTCGACACAAGAGGAGAACAACAAAGCAACCCGTGATGGACCATGGCATGTATATATGTAATATATAATATTCAACACACACTACAAACAAGGACATACACAAACACTGTATTTAATCCATTTACGTTTTACGTATCTGTGTTTACACTATTTCAACCGGACAGGCACACTTCTGATATTGACCTGTGTGGCGTGCACAATTCCGGATAGGAAGGCATTTTCTTTTCACCGCTGTAATCGTTCTTGTTCACTATGAGCTCGGACGAACCCACAATCAGCCCCTCATATAACTACTCTGCGGAGAAGGGAGGAAAGGGCGATGACCTAGAAATGGCAACGGCTGCTTCAGAAAAGTATGTATATATCAATAGAATGTGTATTGTTAACGTCATAAAAGTATGTTGATTGCGTCAGAAGAGTATGTAAATACGTTCCGAAATGCATACAATTGGCCTCGATAGGTTTGTATATTACTTCGGCGACGTACATTTAAAATCCAAAAAAGTATATTTGAATTCCCTTTACATAGATGGCTTTGTAAATACCTTCACGAATTTGTGTAGATACCTCCGGCTAAGTATATCAATACCTTCAGATATGCGTATGTCTACTTGGAGGTGTACACGCCCCATGCCTTTTCGTGGTCTTTACTTTTAGCTATCATTCCAAGCCGCTCACTTTACAATAGTGGCTTTCTTATTTACAACGCAGTTGTACATTTTCAGCGTGTTCGTTTGTGAATTGGCTTCGTTCTCTGTCCGAATAAGTAAGCGATTTTGGTTGACCGGATGGATCTCGAGTGAACAATGAATTGTTTACATGTTGACTATTTACATTTAAAATCTGGGAGTCAGTGGAGTCCAGTTTTGTGTATTGGTAACGCTCCATACGCATGTCAAATTTTAAGAATGCGAATAACAACAAAAGTTCAAAGCTCAAACAAATGCTGAAAGAGGAAACTATGTTCATATGGCAGATATATATATATATATATATATATATATTCACCTACCAGTCTATATATTATATATGTATATATAGTTATATGTGCTGGTGTGGGTGTGCGTGTATGTGTATGTGTGCATTTATATATATATATATATGTGTGTGTCTGTGTCTGTGTCTGTGTCCGTGTCTGTGTAATTTGCATACATATATATACGTGTGTGCATCATATATATATATATATATATATATGTTGTTGTACTTACATATTGACGCTTAAATTTGCACATGAATCGACCTGTATCTATTGGTATATCAATATAAACAGATACTTGCGTGAGGATTTTCTTTCAAGGACAACTGTTCGATATTCAAGAGATACGTGATACATGTACGATATATATTATTATGTTATTATATAATTATTATATGCATGCTTGTTTAGAGCCGAACATATATTTTTGTATAGCTATATTTATGTATATGTATATAGATAAATGTAAATTTATATTTATGTATATGTATATAGATAAATGTAAATTCCACATTATAGATCAAGTGCACTCAGTTTCTAGGACTATCTCAATCATCCATAGATGTACAAATGTCACTCACCTCTGTTGTATGCACTACCTCAACCAACCTCACACAACTCCCACACCTCACAGCGTTGACAGCCGCCAAGGCGTCACCGACGACATGAGTCTGGGTGAAGACAATGTACTACCCCCACACCCCACCGTACCCGCCAAGCCCTCAGGTTTTGTGGGTCATATCAAGGCGCTCATCTTCTCACCACCCGGCTACAAGTTCGGTACCTGGGATGGCGTCTTCTCGAGTTGCCTGACCAACTGCTTTGGGGTCATTATGTTCCTGCGTATGGGTTTTGTAGCGGGAAATATGGGGGTGTGGCAGGCGCTGGGGATGATTGGGAGTGTGTTTGTGATGAGTCTGTTAACCATTCTCAGCACCGCCGGTATATGCAGCACGTGTAGGCTGAGCAAGGGAGGGCTGTACGCGATCCTCAAGCAGGCTCTGGGCACTCAAGTGGGTATGTCTGCATAGATACATGTAAATATCTATTTTATTATATATATATATATATATATTGTATGTGCACTGTGTCGCCTTCTTAGCCTATTTGTATACGTATCCCCTCACTCACTCACTCAGGCGGCACCATCGGAGTCATCTACACTCTCGGCTTGGCTACGGTCAATGCCGTGTACGTGCTGGGTTTCGCCGAGGCCTTCTGCGAGCTGATTAACGCAGACTCCTCAGATCTCAACAACCTGCGCATAGTGGGTGCTATCACGGAAGTGGTGTGCTTGTGCGTGGTGCTGTTGGGAGTGGAGTTTATTATGAAGCTACAGTTTATCTTCCTGGTCATACTCATTGCGGCGCTGTTGAACATCATAATCGGTGGATTTACCTACCCCACTTTCGGCCAGGTGAGTTGAATGCGTTCTTAGTTGGTTTGTATATATATATATATGTGTGTGTGTGTGTGTGTAAATATATGTATGTACGTTTATATTCATATAGTACGTATGTTTATATATATAGTTGGTGTGTGTATATATATAGCACGTATGTTTTTACCTCACGTTTTGTTATAGACATGGTATACCGTGTTTGGTGTTATACATTTAGTTCATCATGAAGCGTTTGCTTGTCTTCCTGATCACTCATTGCGGCGCTGGTAAACATCATCAACGGTGGATCTACCTACTACAACTTAGTCAGTGGGAGTGGAATGTGTTCTTATTTGGATTATTTATATATACCTATATCAATCTATCTATAATATATATATATATATATATATGCCTATCTATAGTGTGTTTGTGTATCCATCATACCACCGCCCACTATCTTCGTGGTAATCTAGACTGTGTCATCCTTGAGCATCAACTGAATAACAGCGGTGGTGGGTCTAAGCATACTCTACATACTCTCATGCCTCACGTTGCTCAAGCGTACCTGATCTGCACAGCACAGCTAGCGATACTGTCTACAACCACAAAGGCCCCATACATCCTTCCCTTGATCGTGTATCTCCTTGTGTCGCTTTGTTCGTGGTTTTAGGGTTAGGGTTTTAGCTAAAACCCTAAACCCTAACCCGCTATTAGTATCAGATAGCTAGGTTTGGTGCTCGAGTTAACTGCTACTAAACCGTCCGACTGCTATCATCACACACATGCTTGGCCTCCCGGTGCAGTTTACCAGCACCAACCTCTCCTCAGACTACAACGAGGGCGAGAACTTCTTCACACTTGTGGGTCTGTTCTTCTCCACAACCACTGGTATCATGGCGGGTGCTAATATGAGTGGGGATCTCAGACACCCCTCGGTGGCTATCCCAGTTGGCACGGTCGCTGCGATTGCTGTGGGAGATGCAGTGTACGCCTCTCTTGTGCTGGTCATGGCCGCGGTGGCCTATTCCTCGGAGAACGATGTATGTAGATGTCGCTTTTCATGTGCATGTTTATATACGTATTTGTATATGTGTGCATGTATGTATGTACGTATATGTATGTGTGTGTGTGTGTTCTTTGTTTTCATAAATATGCCATGGCTGGCGCTGTGTAATTCTTGTGCTGGCCTATTCCCACACGTGCTTGTTTGACTATGACTATCCCATTCGACTACTATCAGTGTTACGTGATCACATACTTCATTTGCGCACGTGTCGAATCGAACTCCCAAGTCTTCTCCAGTGTCCGTAAGTTGTCTACAATGTACTGGTGTGGACATACGACGTGGTACTGGGAACACATAAATTGTAAGGTTTGAGGGTCATAAACTTTATGTGGTCTTCCATCTGAACATTTTATGATGAGCGTATCGTAGCGTTTTCGGGAGATAAATCAGTATCTTAACCCACCTCCTCTCCTCCCCATACATTTATTTATATAAGTATATGTATATATATATATATATATATGTATATATACATATATAATATTGCTTAGAACTTCAATTCGTGTGCCTGTTAAACTTTCCAATTGCTTACAATACATACCCCCTCTCTTCATTTACACTTATTTTCATAATTAGGGTATTGTGGCAACCGAATTGGTTACCTTAACCCCTTCAAATCTGTCCAGTTACTCATAACACATTTGCACTCATTTTATTCTACCAGGGTATTGTGGCAGATGACGGTCTAGGATACTTGAACTCAAACTTCCTCATCGCACAATTCATCTCCGGGTGGCAGCCACTTTTCCAGGTTGGACTCTACATCGCTGCTATCACATCCATTCTTGGAGTGTTTGTCCAAGCACCTCGTGTTATGCAAGGTAAGAGATCATATATATATATATATATATACCATTTCCATTTATATATACACATATATATTGTTATTCTATACGATTTTAAGTGTTGTTGTCTATATATATATATATGATTTATGTGTACGTGCGTGTGTGTATTGTCATGTAATATAAAGTAATATGTCATTTCATGACACGTAACGTATGTGTATATAAGAGTTTAACTTATCTCTATTTCTTCCAACTCTTAATCTTGTAGGTAATGGACAGGACTCATTTCTTGGACCATACATACTGACCCTTGCAACATGTATCTATTCTCTGTACCTCTATCCTTGTAGGTATTGGAGAAGACTGCCAAGTACCCGGTATTCAACAGTTGGGTGTGGGTTTCGGCAAATCCGAAATTCCACTGCGCGCGACGTTCTTCACTGGAACTGTCACGTGCTGTAAGTGGTTGGTGGATGTTTAGGGTTTTATGTCCAGAATATGTAGATCACGATAAATGTTAGAAGTTGGGTATTGGGATATGCGTATTGATTATTATACGTGCATAGTCGATTAGACGTTTAGTGCTGGTATTTCTTTGTGATCCGTGTTGCTATTCTTGGTAATACATTGTGATCCGTGTTGTTGTTCGTCTGTGTGTATAGTTTCTTGATAATCATACGTATACAATTCTGATATTACTCTGTTGGTAGTTTCCATGCGCTAGCTTGTGCATAGAGTTCGGCATATCATTCGATTGTGCCTCTAAAGTGCACTGGAAATCTCATGTATTCTGTCGTGACACCAGTCTTCATCCTCGGCCGTGCAAGTCCTATTCTTCAGATACTACCACCATTTTCACTGGGCATTGTAGTTCTTGAATTTAACTCTGTGGTCCTGGCTATCCTGAACGAGTGTCTGCCCTTGTAATGCGCAGCCTATGTTTTATCATCCACTCTTTTAGTCCTTAAGGCCCTGAATGTTCAAATCATTGTATCCTATGACCAGGCTTTGTGATTCTAGGTAATCTGAAGTAATCAGTTAAATACCATTATGATGCGCATCCGGTGCGTATCGCATGCCTCTTGTCATTATATTTTTCACACTATATTAAATAGCCGGATCTGTATAGCCAGGCTTTGTGGTTCTGGGTAGTCTGAACGAGGTACCTCTACTAATATATCGGTCCTCCTTTTGTTTGTCATATGCGAGTGTCAATTGCCCTGGCGCCCCTATATCAATCTGGCCCACTCTACCCTCTCAGATATATACACCTGCACCTAATCTGGTCTTCGCAGCCCTTTTTATATTGCTACGTCCCCATTCAGGCCTTTTTTTCCCTTTTTTTTTTAAACATCCCTACTCAGGCTTTGTGATTCTTGGTAACCTGAACGAGGTCGCTACCATCATGACGTGCATCCTGTGCTTGTCTTATGCCGCGGTCAACTACGCTTACTTCGCCTTGGCTACTGGTGGTCTGAGAGAAGAGGCACGCATGAAGCAACTCAAGGCGTACGGCCAACAGACTATGAACGTCGACACGCGCACTATGCAGGTATACACACACATGCATATATATCATGTAGGCACCTATTCAAGGTGGTAGTATATGTATTTCGGTACATTCTTCTCTGTGTGAGTGCCGGTGAGCATGTTTCTAGACTATGTAGATGTATGCACATATGCATACGTACCATATACGCCTGTATCTGTTCCAAGTGATAGCATATTCGGGTACATTCTTCTCTGTGTGAGGCAAACGTCTACTGATCCTTTTCCCCTATGCCCTTATTTTAGATGACATCGTTAGTACACATAATATCCTTGAAATATTCCTAGTTCAAATAATAATACTAATCCTTCTGCCTTATGCTCTTATTGCAGATGATATAATACAAATAGTCTTCTTGATGCAAATAATACTTTTCACCGAGATGTACGTCCACTTCACAGGGCTGTGCCGTTGAGATCGTAACTACCTAACGAATACTTCTCTCATGTACAAGCAATACGTACTGAATATACCATGTGCATTACATGCATCTGCACCGACATGCACACACAACCATCTTATAAAGTACTTCTCGTATACACCCTATGCACTTCCTCAGTCCTACATACACATCCACCTTACTAATATTCTCTCTCATACACGCAGGTGGTACAAAACATGGCCCAGCCAGTGGAACAGGACTTCCGCAAACCGCCGCAATGGGTCATGCGCTTCACCAACCGATGGGTGTCGCTGCTGAATTGTCTGTTGCACTTTGTGCTCATGTTCTTCATCCAGTATGTCAATCATAGTATACTCGTTTTCTACCCGTGTTCTTTGTCCAGTTTTATTCATTATATTTATCTCAAAATACGTAGCGTTTGAAACAGATATTCATGTTTTTTATCCAATTGATATGCCCATCATATTGTACACAGCATTTGAAACATATATATTTAACTGATATGTTCATTTTCTACTCATGTTCTTTATCCAATATGTCTACCGTAGTATACGTAGCATTTGAAACATATATAGTTATATTGTTATCCAGGGGCTATGTCTATTGTACTGTTCGTAGCATTTAGAGCAAATATATTTATGTGATATTTACATTTTCTACTTATCTTTGTTTAGTATTTTTACGCCTATCATAGTATACATAGCATTTGAAACATACATTTACGTGACAATTACATTTTATACTCATCTTCTTTATCCATTACGTCAATGTCTATCATAGTATACATAATATTTAAAACACATCTATTCACGTGTTAGTATCATCTTCTACTCATGTTGTTTTTTATCAGTATGTCTATGTCCATCATAATATACATAGCATCTGAAACGTATCTATCTACGTGTTAATTTAATCTTCTACTCATATTGTACTTTACCCAGTATGTCTGTCGATCATAGTATACATAGCATTTGAAGCATATATTTATGTAATAATTTGCATTTGCGTTCATGTTCTTTATCTATTTTATGTCTTTGTTTGAATGTGTAAAACATCATTACCATATGCTTAAGCATGTGGATCCCATTCTATGAATGTGTTTTATTGTTGTCATGCTTGTTTTCGAGTTGGTTCTATGCAGAATATTCTACCTTTACATCAGAACTACTCAACAATAAGAACATAGCCGTATTCGTTATTTTATAAATGTACACCTACTCGTGTATCTCGCAGTATTTCTGGAGACCTCATACCAAATTCGTATCTCTTGATGATGGTCACAGTCTTGTACTGCTGGCGATGTGCATGTATTTGTACTTGTGCATTAAAATACATAGTTCAAAACCTATTCCTTTCATATATACGAGTACTTACATACATGCGTATCTCATTATCAAGGTATTGACCTCCTATTTTTGTCTCTCTCATCAGATGGTGGCTAGGTCTTGTGCTGCTGGTGATGTGTATATTCTTCTACTTGTACATCGGAATCCTTAATAAGGGCAACAATCGACTGGGAGACGCCGACTTCAGCTTCCGAGAGTGGCTTAACCCTTTGCACCACCCCTCTCGAAAGGGCCAGAACCAGAGACGGCAGGTGCGTGCACGACTTGCGTAAGCAAGCAACAAAATGGCGTTATGTATATACCTGTATATGTACTTATGTATGTATATGTGTGTGTATATATATATATATATATCATATGTGTGTTACGTATATGAGAGAGAGATTGTGTGTGTACACAGTAGTATACACGTTAATTACTGTGGATATACACAAGTGCTCTACAACAGAGTTATGTTTGGTTACATGCGTGTATATATGTGTATGTGATTGACTTCTTATGATGCTTCATCTAAAACATACACGGAGGTCGCATTTATCGGCATGTACAAAAATGATGTGCGAAGCCAATATTTATTTTCTTTGCTTAGTGGTATCCATACAATACCCTTGTACCTCAACTCGGGTTTAAACCACAACTAAGTAATTCATTGGAACGCCACTTGTATTTTGGTTTCGAAATTGTGTGTATGCGTGTATTTATCAAATCGTATATTTTGTTAGATGTCCCGAAATTCATAAAGGCTTATCGATCGATCTATACACAATCTGAATGTCACTCTTGTCAACGTTCAACAAAGAATTATCTAAACCTGCATGCATGCCCTGTAACTTTGCATTCTCATATGAATTCCTTCACCATACCACACCCCACCCAAAGGTGAGGTGAGGGTCTCCCGTGGACGATACTTCAAAATTAGGAAGACTGTGCTAGTTATGGACTAGCCTAGCCTATACCCCTAAACCACAGAGTTATCCCATGAATCACCTCGTTGCCTATACGACTGTTCCGGGTGGCATCCTGTTTGTTCGACTGTCTCGTACAAAATTCATGAACGCTTGCGCATCATTCGTGAAAAATAATGCCACCTTACCGCAGGCCGCATTCAACAAAGATTGGCCGTTCTTTTTATCACATAGCAACTCTCTCGTCCGTTATATATATATCCTCATTCCCCTTTTCCTTTCTTGTAAGTACAGTTCTCCGTATAGTCTCTTAGCTAGCTCTTCTCATTTGTCCGTATTTAATTCCCATCTGTTGCTATAGGCGGGTGCCGGGCCCACAGTACAGGATGTGCCTGCTGCCTTTGGCGATCAAACTCAGGGAATGCCTTCTTCAGACGACAACAGAAGTAAGTGAATACTTTGTTTGTTTTATTTTCACTCATATCCCGATTCGATGTCTACCTCATAGTCCAGTGGATATACATGCATTGTCTTCGCACTCTCATACACGTGTATTTCTTCGTTTTAAATATTATTCCTATCACTTCTTCGGTTGTGATTCCGAAAGACTTGTGCAGTCCAGAAAAAAAACTCATTTGTAGTCAGCGCTTTTGGGTTCATTCACGTATATGTGCGTGTAAACCTAGTATTTTTCATAGCCGTCAGTATTGTACTTCTATGGATTCAATTTTGATGTAGCTATAACTTGCACACGCGCATTTGGTTTATCACTGCGTCCGACGAAAACTGCCTGTCAAGTTCTTTGACTCAGTGCTGTACCCCTAAATTTATTACTACTCAGATGCCGCAGCTGATGTCTACCCTGCTGAAGAGTATACACCAGCTTCTGCCCAGCTGTAATTGTTATTAAATCTCAAGAATCATCTCAAAAAGAATCTCACACTCATTAACACCTCCTGGAATCCAATAAAAATATTTACATTCATATTCAATTTGGACTATGACGTGCAACATTTAGATATGGTATATATATATAATGTATATATATATTCAGACAAATATGTACATACATATATATTGAGACATAAAAATATTTATATGTTTATATAT